TTTGGTCAATATTCCAAAAATAGTACAAAACTAAAACTAACTTTCAACATTCAAAATTAAACCCTAGCCCCTAAAAACTATACCCCACTTCTACAATAGTTAACCCAAACCCAAAAATTTAAATTATAAGGCTTTGAAAATCAATTTTGTGTTTGTGGTTTTTGTGGAACATTTGAAAAAGGTGGTAATTTTGAAATATTTAAAAGATGGTGGTATTTTTAGAAACACAATTTCAAAATGTGGTATTCTAAGAAATTACTCTATCTTTAATATCATATAGACACTATTTAGACAACTAAAATTAGTTGGATAACAAAATACATTACCAACTAACTTTAAACATTGCCATTGGTTTGTAATGCTAGATACGCATACTTGATACCTTTACACGCATATCGGATAATATTCATGTTGACGTTTGATATAATTTTTATCTGTCTAACATTTGATATTCTCGTCTAACTTAAGAACATGAAATCATGGTGATTGGCTATGTCGACGAGATTCGCAAGGCTCGAGACTAGAGTATCATCTTTCTCTGTTCAAATCAATTGTCCGAGCTGTCTTGACCAGAATTGACTTACTCGGTGCACTCAAATCAACTCATCGAGTTGATTCACTGAGTCGACTCAGTGAGATCCACGATTGTATCTCCGGAACGAATCAGTGATGATATTACTGCTTTTTAGTACGTTTTGAATGAATCGGTGTCTCTGGCACGAGCATTGTTGTAGTTTGTAGAGTTTTTCTGGTCGTAGACGGACGTAAATTTTGGTGTTTTCATCGTGTGTCTCGAGATTCGAAGATAAATCTGACAAATATATATACACACGCTACTTCACCCTCCCCTATGAATATCAAATATAGGGCGACTATCGGTTTATAAAAAAATTAAACAGTACCATTGTCATCTAGCAAAATACCCTATAATCTGTTGATACCCAGTGCAAATACCCTTTTTCATTTACGTTGCAATTATGTGGTAATTCTCTCTCTTTCTATAATTCCCTCTCTTTCTATGTTAAACATTTAAGTTAATGAAGATTGTGCACATACAAAAAAAAATTATCGAATAAGATAAAACAAAATGTTTTGTAAATTTTTTTTGTCAACTACTTATACCATTAAAACGGT